GCTGGTTCAGTTTTACTATGTGATTCACTTGTCCTTCACAATGTTTATTACTTTCCTTCATTTCATGTCAATATTATTTCTGTCACCACTCTTTTTGACTCCACTTTATATGATGTGAAATTTTCCCCTAATTGCTGTCAAATTATGCAGTTGTCCCAATCCAAGATGATTGGATTTACAGCTAGGAGGATTGGCAAATTATATGTTCTTGATGCCACCCCACCTAAGGCCATCTCTCCCACATCTGGATCTGTCAACACCTCCTCTTCTCCCCAATTAGAACCTGCTAAACATGATCCTGCTACTATTTGGCATCTTAGGCTTGGACACTTAAGTCCTTACATACACAAATGTATTTCCTCTCAATTTCCTTTTGTCACCTACAATAACAATCATAAGCCCTGTAATACTTGCCATTTGGCTAAACAAAAACATTTGCCATTTACTCACAGTAATACTAAGTCTGTTGCCATCTTCGATTTACTTCATGTCGATATTTGAGGCCCTCTTTCCACACCTTCCATATGTGGCCACAAGTATTTTTTAACCCTCGTAGACGATTACAGCAGGTTTACTTGGACAATTTTTATGGCCAACAAAAGTGAAACCAGAAACCATTTAATTCACTTCATATCCTTTATCGAAACTCAATTTAACAAGAAACTCAAGTGCATTCGTAGTGATAATGGTCCTGAGTTTCTCATGACCACTTTCTACCTTTCTAAAGGAATCATTCATCAAAGGTATTGTGTGGAAACGCCTTAACAGAACGGTATCGTGGAAAGAAAACATCAGCACATTTTGAATGTTGCCCGTGCCCTCTCTTTCCACTCTCACCTCCCTCACAACCTTTGGCACCTTTCCATACAATAGGCCATTCATATTATAAACCGTCTTCCTACTCCTCTTTTAAACAACCACTCTCCCTACCAAAAACTCCATTCTACTCCTCCCAGCCTTAACCATATGAGAGTCTTTGGTTGTCTTGCCTATTCTTCGACCTTGCTTAACCATCACACTAAATTCGAACCAAGAGCAAGGAAATCTATTTTTCTTGGCTACAGGGAAGGCACAAAAGGCTACCTTCTCTATGATCCTATCACACATGAATTTTACATTTCAAGGAATGTATTCTTTTATGAAACTGTGTTCCCTTTTGCATCCATCCCACCTACACCTAATCCTATAATTCCTACTCCTGACCCTCCTTCCCTTGATTCACCTGATATTTTCACCAACATTCCACCCATCTCACCTCCACCATCAAATGAACCTTCCTCTCCTACCTATCTCCCCCAGCCAGATTCTCCCACTAACCTCTCTTCTTCCTCAAATGACACTAACAACTCCCCTTGCCCCTCCCCTCCTGTGCCAACCAGAAAATCCATCGAAATATTAAACCTCCAGCTTATCTATCTGATTATCACTGCAATTTGTTATCCCCCATGCTGCCAGCATCTGACTCAGGTTCCTCTAACTACCCTCTCTCTTCTGTATTATCTTATAGCCAATGTAGTCCTGATCACAAATTATTTTGTCTATCCATAAGCTCTTTCACAGAACCCAAAACCTATAAACAAGTCTGCAAGTTTGATTGTTGGAACAATGCTATGAAATATGAGTTAGATGCTCTTGAATCTACAAATACTTGGTCTGTTGTTGATTTGCCTGCAGGCAAACAATCGATTGGTTGCAAATGGGTCTACAAAATCAAGCATCATGCTGATGGATCCATCGAACGATACAAGGCCCGTTTGGTAGCAAAAGGATATACTCAGCTGGAGGGTGTGGATTATTTCGACACTTTCTCACCTGTTGCGAAGCTTACTTCTATTCGAACCCTTCTCTCAGTGGCTGCCATTAAGAATTGGCACTTGGAACAACTCGACATCAACAATGCCTTCCTTCATGGTGATCTACATGAGGAAGTGTATATGGATCTGCCTCCTGGATTCCTGCCCCTTGCTTCTTCGACCAACGAAGTTTGCACTTCTTCGACCAACGAAGTTTGCACTTCTTCGACCAACGAAGTTTGCACTTCTTCGACAAACAAAGTTTGCACTTCTTCTGCTTCTTCGACCAACGAAGTTTGCACTTCTTCGACCAACGAAGTTTGCACTTCTTCGACCAACGAAAGTTGCACTTCTTCGACCAACAAAGTTTGCAAATTGCATAAGTCATTATATGGCCTGAAGCAGGCTAGCAGACAGTGGTTTTCGAAATTGTCCACTGCCCTTATCTCTCTTGGCTACTCATATTCTTCTGCTGATCATTCTTTTTTCACAAAATCACATGACTCTTCTTTTACTGCCTTATTAGTCTATGTTGATGATATTGTCTTAGCCGGTAATGATTTGCACGAAATCAAATATGTCAAATGCTTCCTTGATTCCACTTTCAAAATCAAGGACCTTGGTAGGCTAAAATATTTTCTTGGTCTAGAAGTTGCCAGATCAACTCACAGCATTTTTCTCAATCAGAGAAAGTACGCTTTGGAATTGCTCGAAGACAGTGGCTTATTGGCTACTAAACCTTGCTCTACTCCCTTCGATTCCTCCTTGAAGCTTCATGATGATAACTCACCACCTTTCGAAGACGTCACAGCTTATCGAAGGCTTGTTGGAAAACTTCTATATCTGACTACCACCAGACCTGACCTTGCATTCATTGTTCAACAGCTCAGCCAATTCATCTCACATCCTATGCAAGTTCATTATTCTGCAACAATTCGAGTACTCAAGTATCTCAAAGGTGCTCCTGCCAAGGGTTTGTTCTATTCATCTTCCTCTCCACTCAAACTCTCTGGCTTCGCAGACTCATATTGGGCAAGTTGCCCTGCTACCCGCAGATCCGTAACTGGATATTGTGTGTTCCTTGGCAATTCCCTCATATCCTGGAAATCCAAAAAGCAGTCTACAGTATCCAAATCAAGTTCAGAAGCGGAATACAGGGCCTTGGCAAGCTTGACTTGTGAATTGCAATGGCTGCAGTATTTGTTCAAGGATCCCCACATCTCCTTTGATCAACCTAGCTCAGTCTATTGTGACAACAAAAGTGTTATCTACCTTGCTCACAACCCCACCTTCCATGAACGGACAAAACATATCGAAATTGACTGCCACGTCATTCGTGAGAAAATCCAAACTGGTCTCATCCACCTTTTACCAGTTTCTTCTGCTGCTCAATTGGCAGATGTTCTCACCAAGCCTTTGGTAGCTCCCTCTTTCAATTCTCTTGTTTCCAAGCTTGGTCTATTAGACATTCATAGTCCAGCTTGTGGGGAGCTATTACATGATGCAAATAATTCTGTTAAGTTTGTTACTTATAATTCTGTTAAGTTTGTTACTTAACAGTTAGTTAGTTTGTTACTTAACAGTTAGTTAGTTTAGTTTGTTACTTAACAGTATATATAATACTGTCTTGTACATTCCAAAAGCAGAATAATACAATGAGCTTATTCTAAAATTAACAAAAACAAACACATCGAAATGAGGTTCCATTATCTTCGAGAACAAGTAGAAAATGAGAAGCTGAAATTGAAACACTACAGAATTGAGAACCAGATTGTAGACATCATGACGAAGGGTGTGCATCGAAGTGTTTAAAAGACTAAGAACAATGGTGAAGGTAGATAGCTTAGACACAATGAATTAGATGGTGTGTTGAGAGTATAATTATTTGTGTCTAAGCACCATTTCGACAAAGTATGTTGTTATCGAAATGTTTTTTAGTGTCGAAATTGTATAGTTGTCGAAATGTCAAAGAAATATATCTCGATAGAAATTTAATTATTTTGTATTTTTAGTTGAGTTAGGTTAGTTGGAGATTTTGAAGATAATAGTTTGTGGGTGGAATCATGGGGATCCTTAGGTGGATCATAAAGGTCATTGTGTTGAAGTGGATCAGGTATGATGAGTAAGTCAAGTAAAGGTTTGATTTATGAGTATCACAATTGGTTTCATTTAAGTTAGTCTTATTGTGTTTGAAGGGAAAATTTTGTTCAAAACATGTTACGTCACTAAAGATGAATAATAAGAGTGATCTACGAGATTGTAAAGTTTGAAGCCTTCGTAGTTAAGACTAAACTTATGTTTACGAATGGGAACATTAGCAACATTATAGGCTTACTAAACTAAGTTGTGACATGCAAAGAAGTTGTTTAACAATTCAAAATCATCATACTTTTATTTCATCAAATGTATCCACTCGTGAATCTAGTGCACTCAGTGGTAAGAAAAATATATTTTACCATCATATGTGGGGGAGGGAAAGAGGTCCCCTTGTGTCACAATATACTAGACAAAAGGCTTCAGTAGCAAAATTATTTTGAGAATCAAATGAAAATCTTCTAAATTTTTCCAAAGGATATATTTTCTCTGTTTTTTATAAGTTGTTTTGTAGAAAAAAATTGTACTACAATATAAATCGTTTTACTATATATAATCTTTAGTGTTATTTCTCTTAAATATTATTATATTATTTATAAAAAAAACGAGAAATATGGCTTACAACCGACAACATTCCACATTAAACTATTGGACTAAAAAATGCTTCATTTATTAACCAAGTTCCAATGTTAGCATGGAGATGTGATGTTAATTACTGTATGTTACAACTCCCATTGCCGTACGTTGTTTACTTCACAACAATCCAGGACTCTTTCTCTCTTTTTAACATTCCAAAGCACTTATTGATAACTATATCAAAATAAGCACTTATTTATACCAAAGAGTAAACTCAAATTGTCCCTAAGTTGGATCCATACACAAACTGTGTAATTCAATATCACTATACAAAAGTGGCAAAAACTGAAAGAAGAGTACAATCCAAGTAACAAGACACATTAATATACAACAAATTATCTTCAAAAAAACACCTTGAGATCTTAACCATCTTTCCCAGGCCAATAAAAATTTAGGCAAAAAGATAAGAACAATCACAGAACTCAGAAACCGTTTTCAATGAAGGACTTCCTCCTAGTAGTTCAGTAAAAGTTGAGATCAAAGCAATCCAAATTTCGTTAGAAACTTTTTTACGGTTTCGCGGCCCCACTCGACATCATTTCGCAAGGCATTACCATGAATTGGCTCTGCGTTCGACGCTTCTTCCATCGTTGGTGCTAAAAGAAACTGCTCCTCGTAGAAACTCAGCTCATCGTTGATTGTTGTATTTATCTTCTCTGCTGTGTCATAATCTGATTCTTCATCCTTACTTAACTGGAACATTTACAAATGAAGCACATGAAAAAACAACATCAAAAAGACATTAACACCAACATCAACTATTTTAACAGCTATATAATAAATGGTATAAACTATTGGACCTAACTCAACCCCGCAAAACGAATCTCCATCGTTTCATCATAAGAGACCTATATCAGAAAATGCATTAGATAGATTTTAGTCGATGACGCAGGCCAACACCTGGGTCTGTCCCGCAAAAAAAAAGGTAGCACCTGGGTCCGTCCCGCCAAAAAAAAAGAGGGTAGAGCGGGCCCGCAGCCACAAAAGCTCGCATGAAAACAGGGTGGAGCCGGACGGACATATTAGAGGGTGTGAGCCTAAAACTCTGGCCTGCCTTGCAAAAAAGTGAGGGCATATGTCCGTTTTACCACCCCTAACAACAACAATGTGCTGATGTTTTTGCAACCACAATTGAGGCTACATGCATCAACCACATTGGGTTGCGACTTTTGCAATAGAAAAGATTGCAACCGTAACCCTGTTATTATGTCATGGTAACATCTTCCACAATAATAGTTCAGCTATTTGTTGAGCATTATTGTTAGAAAACTTCATTGTAATGGCTAAGTTATGTATAATCATTGATTACAATCAAATTGGAAACAAATTTTTCTCTTTCACTTTTGGCCTTGGGATGCATTGGTTATATATATATAAGAAACAAGCAAATGAGTTATGGTAAGAACAAAACTAACTTCATTGATGAAAAACATAGATGATGATACAAATGAAACACGATGTTCGAGTAACTACCTAATAAGTTATTCTCTCGGTTGATTGCAAACTCGAACGAGCTTTTAATGAAATGGAAACAGGAAATTCAAAAGGAACAACATCACACTCATCAAGCGATTACCTCTGGTATAATCTGATCGTGTGTTTCAAAAGTTTCAACTGAAGACTTTATCGCGGTCTCTTCTTTTTCAGTTGGCGGCGTTAAGCCAGGTACAAGAACAGGACCTCCTTTCAAATCGATTAAGCTTCCCTCCACAATCGTCCCTTCTTGATTGTTTAGTCCTGCAGCATTTCCATTGTATCCGCTATAATGTATTTTATCATCCTTTTGAGAACCATCTTCTGATTCTTCAGTTTTTCGAATCACATTACTTTTACTCGTTTTGTAACTAGTACTTTCCATGAGTTCCTTCGAGGATACGATATTTTCTGCAATAATAGCCATTGGCTTCTCAATTGATGATGAAATACTATCACTGGTGTTTTCTTGAATTACTTGTTCATCAATCAGTTTCCGCTCATCGTGAATTCGCGTATCTTCAATACCAGATACATTGGATACAACGAATTCCGTTTTATCGCGAGAATCATCTAAAGTTTCAGTGGAAGTTGACAATTCTGATAGAACTTGAGGTTCTTCATTTGGTTCTTCCTCTACTACTTTCTGAAGTTCTGCATTCTCCCAATCCTCACTAACAACTATTCTGTTCATAGTTTCCCATGTTTGAATAACCCGATCCGAACCCGGCTGCCATATAATATCACCTTCTATTCCCTTGAGTATGAACTTGTACTGGATCGATTTTCCGGCCGGCATATCCAGCTCGAGAGTCCATATATGGCCATCAGACCATGTCATTAGTAATGCATCTAAAGGATTCCATGAACCAAGCATAGGATCATCTCCAACTATTAGAAACTGTTCCCCGAAGTCACAATCTTTTAGTAATCGAAATTCGACACGAACAAACTTTGTTTCGTCTGCATTATACGCAAACTACAATGTTAAGGATTTTAGTTCTAAAGGAAGACATGCAGAAGAAAAAGAATATTAATGGATCATTATAAGTTATAACTTACTTGTTTGTTCACTTTGTTGAACTTGAGACTCAACAGCTTCCAACTCTACCTCCTGCTACATTTATGCAGAACAAGACACTCTCATCAAATATACCAAAATATTCATCAATTATGAACAACTTAGTTAAGTGCTTATAGCATAAGCAATTATCATATAAGTGTCATTAAAATAAAAGTCAATATGTTTTTATATAGTATGTGTTTGGAACTGTATTGAGTTCGAATTCTTGCATCACAAAGCATTGCAAATGTGAAAATGAAGAAGCTACACATTGTAGCTTTCACGTCAACGCAAATATGTACCTCAATTCGAAGAAAGGCACTGCAGTACCAAACATTGCAATAACCTATAAGCTATTTTCATAAACTATCGTTGAGCGCTTATACAAATAAGCTGAAAACAGCTTATAAACATGTCATATGTTGTTTTCATAAACCCTCACAATGAGTCTTCAAAAGTGCCCATGTTAGTAAATAATCTCAAGTAATTCAATCCAAATAGACCCGAATGTGTATATACAACAATCAGATAACCATTTTGCAAATTTCACTCTACTAAACAACAGAAAAAAAACCTAAGGATTGGTCTAGTGGTGAAGACTTGAGTTCTGAGAGTGTACTCCTCTCAAGGTCTCGGTCTCAGGTTCCAATCATGTTAGGTGTAAACAATCTGTCCTCTTGGATTAGTCGGTAATCATTCATAACAAAGAAGTATAACATTAACATGAAATTGTCAACATCAATTTCAAGATCTATGCATACAAATAAAAAAAGAATAGTTTTGCATCATAGAAGGAACCCAAAAAGCTACAACTTCAAGCATTAAACCACTCAAAATTTCAAGAAAAAGAAAAAGATCCAAAAAGTTGAAACAAAACTATACCAAACAAACATATAGCTCCATAGAGGCCAGAACAAACCAAGACCCATTATTCAAATGCAATCAATCAAATAAGAAGAAAAGGCAAAAATAAACCTGATGTTCTGATGGCACAGAATGAAGAGGGAAAAAACCCTTGTTTTGAACAACTTTCAAAACGCAAAAAACGGATCCTTTTTGTTCATTTCTAGAGAGAAAAGTGAAGCAAGAAAAGGGTTTATCAGAAACATGAAAATCAACTCTAGGAGACAAAGATCCTAGCTTAAGGTTTATTGGTTTTGAACTGAAACTAGTGAAGGCTTTCATCAGAGGTAACTAAAATGGTGAAGTTTGATCCTGCAACACAGTGATGTCTGGTTTTTTTCTTCGGTTATCTTTTGTTGTTTTGTGTGTTTTTGTGTTGCAGAATCTATGTGATGCTGGGGGTTTCTGAATGGTTATGTGGGGTCGTTTTTATATTGGTGGAGCCTATGAAATTCATGGTAATATAATAATAATAATAAAATAATAATAATAATAATAATAATAATAATAATAATAATAATAATAATAATAATAATAATAATAATAATAATAATAATATAATATAATATAATATAATATAATATAATATAATATAATATAATATAATATAATATAATATAATATAATATAATATAATATAATATAATATAATATAATATAATATAATATAATATAATATAAATTTCGTTAATGCAATTTAGATAATAATTATATAGAAACATCAAATATGAAATCGAATCGTAAGTTTAAATCTACCGCATCTCATTTATTTTTTAAATGATAAATTTTAACCATTAGATTATATAATATGCGATGCACCTGTTAAATAAGATAAATGCATCTACAAGTATGTGTCTCTTAGCTACTAGAAAAACTAGTATTTCAAGGATAAAATTACATCATGATACACAAGATTTGAAATATTCTTTATTTTTCTTAAGAAACAGACATGATACTGGGAAACAACTAGGCATCCAGTGTCTTTATGGATAATGGGAATAATACAGACAGGGGGAGCTAACAGCTAGTTCTTATTAGGAAAAGAAACCCCAAGACCCATTTAAATCAACTTGTACTTGTACTTGGTTTGGTGAGATAGAATCAACTTGTATTATTAATGTAAAATTGTAACATGATAATAAAACAAAGTGTATTAAATTCTTATTATAATAAAGTGATATATTATAAATGTTGTAGTCCAAATCCACGTAACATTAATAATCCCGACTCATTCATTTATAACCATGTCAAATATATATAAAAAATTTAAATGAAATTCGATTCTATTAGATACATGTTTAATATTAAGCGATTTTGTAATGTTTGACTAAATTATCGGTGAAAAAACACTCATCATACTTTCTGGTGGAGCGGGATCCTTTGAGTCATAGTCGAAAATATAGCCTCAAGGGCTAAGTCAAATGATTACTTTTATACATTTAAAATAATAAGAAAAGGATATTGATGAGTCCTAAAATGTATATTTTTATCGATTGATTCACATTATCATTACAAAACTAACTTATATAAACTAGAAAGTTAGTTTGAGATTAGGTAACAAAATTTAAAGTAATTAAAAAAAGTGTCATAACAAACCAACTAGCTCACTAAATAACAATAGTTAGTATAACTTGATATCTCTGCAAGCTGGAGGATAGTAAATGTTAATCATTTCAAGTTTGAGCACAAAATCATAGAATATCTCTAGATGAGAAGTTTTTGTAAAATCATCAACAATTTGGTTTTGAGAGGCTACCTACAACAACCACACTAGACTAACAAACACTTTTTCACGAAAGAAATTAAAATTGATGCCAAGGTGCTTTGAGCAATCATGGAAAATAGGATTTGCAGTTATATATTGAGCGCTTTGGTTATCAAAATAAAGAGTTGTCATTTTAGTTGGAGTTTTTAATAAGTCTCGAAGCAAGAACGAGATTCACTGTAGTTCACGAGTGGCACAAACAAGTGATCGATCTTTTAGCTCTCGAAGCACATTTTAAAATAACTAAATTTCTATTGTAATAAATTAAGTATCTCACTAAATAACAATAGATAATACAGCTTGATAATTCATTGACTTGATAAACAATTTATGATTAACTTGTCCTTGTGTGAAACCATAAAAAAGCAAGAAAGTAGTAAAAAATTTAAACCATTGTCGACTTGCTTTTTTGTGCATAGGTAAAGGATTTCAAGGTAGACGCAGAGGAAGTAGAAAATTATGTACTTATTGTGAAAGGATAAGACATACTATAGAAACTTGCTACAAGAAGCATGTTTTGCCAGCCAATTTCGGGCGCGGAAATGAAGGAAGTAGATCATATGCAAGTCATGTAGAAGTCGATGGTTATGAAGAAAAGTCATGCAATGACAATTTATGTTGTTACAAGTGATTAACATAATTTTATAGACAACATGTAATCCAAGATGTCATGATATTATGATAAAACATATAGTTTCTATGAGCTAAAAATAAGAGGCATAGATGTGAAGCAATATGTCCCACACATTAAGGAACATCCAACCTCAGGAGTCAGCTCCGCAAAAGTAAATCTCATGCTTGATTTGTTTACTTTATTGTTTGTTTGTTTATGAACTTTTTGGAATAAGGAAAAAAATTTCAAAAGATCAATTATCAAGACCAAACCAGATTGATGGAGATTTAATTTATTGAGTTGGGCTTTTTTATTTTAATTCATCTGCAAGTTTTGTTTGAAACCCTAATGTGTCATGTAGCTAGATGTTTTACTATTTAAGGAGAAGTGCTCCATACAGAAGACTCTGGCCTTGAGATATCAAGCAAGACGTGTTTTAGCATATGAGTCTTAGTGTTTTCTTTGTTTTTCTTTGTATACTTTATCATTTGAATGATTCACATATAAAGGAATAGAGTTTGTTTTGAGTGTTGGACATGTGAATTTGCACACAAGAGGGGATGAATTGTGTATTTCAGAAGAAGAAAAATTGGATTTGAAAAAAAATTCAAATCAAAATCAAATTTTAAAAACATTTTAGATTTTTTTTATATTTAAGTAGTGGAATATAAAATTACAGAAGACAAAGTGCAAAAATAAAGAGTTTGAGAAAAGAGAGAAGACACCAGTAATTATACATGTTCAATAAAAAATAACTTAGTTCAGTCCCTAAGATTTGATCTTGAGTATCCAATAAACTTAAGATATTTTAGTAGGTTAAACTCTTGAACTCCCATATTTCAAGGTAACGATTCAAAGTTCCTTTCTCATCTATATGTATCTTGCATTTGCTAGTGTTTCTTAAGAAGGCAACGATTGAGGATTTGAGGAATAAGTTGCGATCGATAGTTGAAAGGTAGTTGGTAACCTTACTTTTAGTGAGGTTACTAGAGGTTTCGCCTTTCGTGTCTTTACCATTATGAATCCCATTGTTGTAGATGATTTTAAGCAGAAGTGCACGACCCAAATTTATATCAAAGTGCCTCATCGTGTTTTTGATTACAACCCTACAAACGATGAATTGAGGTGGTGGTTGGACTTCTAATGTCATGTTTATACTCATGATCGTTCTTTTTTATGTGTAGGAAATAATTTTGAAATGGATAAATATGGCCCGGGAATACGGAATGAGATGAGATTATTTAATTGTATCGATGGATAAAGAAACATTAGATGTTGTATCCATATTCGTTGGTAAGGGTAGTATGGACCATGCTTTCATTGGGGTAGGCCCCCCTTTAAACGGAGAAACGCTTTCTCCCTAAGGAAATAAAAGGGTGTGCAAAAAATATTAAGGATGTGTCATCCCTATTCATGAGTATTTATTTTTTTATAGGTTTCTGCATTCCTTTCAATGACTATGAGGTGGGCATTTTAAATCATCTAGTGATCACCCCATCACAACCCTATTTAGTGAGTTGGACTTATGTCAAATTCTTTCAGTATTTATGTGAGTACAAGAAAAGTGTTCCCATCTGTTGTACCCCAAAATTTTCTCTCTCATTTTTCTTCAAGTCGTTCTTCTAAGGTCTCAAATGCTCAAGAATTCTCAAGAGTTGATCAGACAAACTCACCTCCTAAGCAATGGGTCCACAACTAGGGTTTCATCCTGCACAAGGAAGAATGGGTTTTAAAGGTCTACAATGGTTTGCATTGTTCTTCATAGGTCTTCAGCAGTGCTCATATCAAGTTTCAAGTCTTGCATCATAAATTTACTCAGTCAATGGCTCAGATGATTGAAAATCAATTGTATTGGGTAAAAAGTCAACCATGGCCAATGTCAACATCAACATTTTAAAGTGATATTCATCATTTTATCAAGGGTTGATCATGATTCCTCAAGGAAAGTCCTCAAATCATCAAAAGTCAAAAGTTACCAAATTAGGGTTTCCTTAGGAGAAGTCAACTAAACTTTGACCAAACATAACTTTCACATGCTTCATCAAATTTTCCCCAACCAAAGCCCATTTTTAAGGAAATTCAATTCTCTACAACTTTGTATATGTATGCTCAAGTACAAAAAGTATTTCATTTGAAAGATATGAGCTAATGCATTACAAGTCATTTCAAAAATCAACAAAAAGACACTTTTTGTCAAGCCAACTTACATCAAGATAATGTCTCCAAATGCAAAAATGATAACATGAGAAATTGTAGATAACATCTTGAGATTTCTAAAAAGTCAAAGATCACCTTCAAAAGATGAAAATTGAGAGAGTTATGACCAGTGCAAGTTGGGAAATTTTGAGGAAATGCATGAAATGCAAAGTGAGCAAACTTGAAAATTTGAACTAGTGGACCTAATTTTTGATGTTCAAGCATGTTCACAATGTATTAGAAGACCTCTAAATCCATGCACATATTTTTTATGATTTTTATTTTTTTTTCATTTAAATGAAATTAAAATAAATAAAATATGAGGCAATGCATGTGGGCTCACTTCTTGGATAAATTCAGGCCCAAGACAACTCATGACAGCCTATTAATCTTGCCAAAACCGTGTGAGCATGAAAAGGGCAAGAATTATCTCAAAAAGGAAGGTTATAAGTGTGTTTGATCTTTATCTCATAGGCCGTGAATGCATTGGTCTCCTTGCCATATTTTGTTCACCTCACTTCTTCCTCTATATATACATGCCAAATCAGAAGCACAGGATACGACATATTGCATAAAAAGAGCTTTCCAAATTCTCAATATTTTTCAAAAGAACCTAAGTCTCGAAACTGGTGTTGCAAGCCTCCTCGGTGCAAAACTCCAATATCATTCACCTTTTGGAGCATCAAAGGGTAGGTTTGGATCGTTTGT